CGTAGTTTATTGGCTATTCATTTGTTTTCTCAGCCACCTCTTGGAAAAATTATAAAAAGGATCTCTGAACCTTAGTTTGTCACCTTTATTCCAAAAAATTTTTTAATTTGGTACGTATCAGTATTTTTTTTTATGAACTTTTGAAAGATTTCAAAGGAAAATATTTAAAAAATGTTTATTCAATAATTTTTAGGAATTTTATAATAATGTCATTTAGAGCCAGACCAAAGGTATTACGTAGAGAAATGCAAAGGCGACGACTTATTTCATCACTTACCGTTAATTCCTTAACTTCAATCCTTGCCCCAACCTCGACAGCTGTATCTTCTTTTATTCCCTCTTCTTCTACAGCTGTCACTTCTTCTGCTTCTACAGCTGTGACTATAATTCCTCCCCCTCCCATTATTTCAGTTCCTCCCCCTCCCCTTGTTACTGTCCCTCCCCCTCCAATTGTTACTGTCCCTCCCCCACTCCCCGTTACAGCTGTAACTTCTGTACCAACTCGCCCTATTGCTCCCATCCGTCGTTTTTCTAGGTGGCCAGAGCCTATGGATCTCGATCCACCAGGCATTTATGTAGAAACTCCATACATTCCTCCCCCTAGTCGATGGCCGGAGCCAATGGATCTTGATCCTCCTGGCATTTATGTTGCCATCGATTATGGATTTTACCCCTTTCCCCTTCGTTTTTAGCTGGCCACCTCTCCTTCTTTTTCGTCGTCTTTGAAATTCTCAAATAAAAAAAAAAAATAAAATTATAAAAAAAAAAAAAAAAAAAAATTTAAAAAATTCAAAAAAAAAAAAAAAATATTTCCCCCTTTGAAAAATTTCACTAGGGTGCTTATCTTTTGATAAGCATGACTACGATACTTGATGTATCGTATCTATTATATGAAGTTGGCTGCTTTATCGTTCCTTTTTGCATTTAAAATAATCCCCAATTGGCCACTTCATCCACATTTTGTAGTTTAGAATTGTTTTTTGGTTTGTTTTTTTTTTTAATTCTGTTTTATGTATTTTGATGATGTCTGAGGTGAAATTTTTTAAACCTATTTTTATTACCCTATTATATTCGTATGCACTTTCTGTTTATTATTTCACCTCAAATATTTTTATTAACCTGAACGAAGCTTGCCACCTCTACGCGGTGTCCAGGAGAAACAGTTATAGATTCATTTATATCTGGCTAAGCGCAAGCATTTATTCTTTGAAATATTGATTATATTCATTTAAAATTAAATAGAAAAATTATACAATTTTTTTTTTAATAAAGAATTATAGCATAATGTAATAAAAAATAAGGACTGCACTTGATATTTTAACAAATAAATTTGTCATTATAAAAATGGTTAAAATATATTAGGTAACATAAATTTTAAAATATATTTTGAACTGAAATTATACGCGCCTTAAGTTCGCATGAATTCTTTTAAGTTGATTGATAAGTAAAATTTTTTGTTAGATATTGTGTTCGTGTGTTCGATCTGCAAAATGATATAAACAGCAATGAAACGTGCACAATATAGTACAACATTAAATTATATGATGTACAACTTGTACTAAATTTTATTTTTTTTTTTCAAAAAATTATAACATAATAATGTCAAAGGATAGCGATATAAAAGGTTTAAAATATCATATTGATTGGTTAGAGAAATCGATTGCCGAAGAACATATTAAATTTTATAAATACTCGGATTTCCAAAATAAAAGTTACATAGGAAAGGGTTCATATGGAAAGGTTTGTCGAATTAGTTGGAAAAAGAAACAAATTTTCGCCTTGAAATCTTTTAAAAATTCTCAAGTCGTCATCAATCAAAATGTGGAAGAGGTATAATAATCAGTAGTTATGTAAGTGAAAAGAAAAGTTTGCATTATTAAATACTTGCTTTATTTATTTAACACAGTTGAAACTGCATCGGAATGTTAATTATCATGAAAATATAATACGGTTATATGGTGTCACCATGGCAAAACTCAGTGAGTATTTTATTGAATCTTTTATATTTTTTACTTTTAATTTATAAATGCTTTTTTGTACAGATGAATACTCTTTGGTCTTAGAATACGCCGATAGTGGTACATTGAACGATTATTTAAATAAACATTTCAGTGAACTTAATTGGGATGACAAATACCAGTTGGCAATTCAACTATCAAATGCTGTAGAATTTTTACATGAAGCAAATATTATCCATCGTGATCTGGTAATAATAAATTTTTCTAATTCTGTCTTGCTTAAAGTCATTGATTATTAATATTATTAATTCAAAATTATACAAAGCATGCCGGCAATATACTATTACATCAGCAAAAAATTAAATTAGCAGACTTTGGTTTATCAAGAAAAATTACAGAAACGTCAAGTAATTCATCAAAAATATTTGGTATCATACCTTATATGGACCCAAAACGTTTAAAGGATAGTTGTTACAAATCAAATAAAATGTCTGATGTCTATAGTATTGGAGTACTTTTATGGCAAATTTCAAGTGGATATAAACCATTTTATGGCTTAGATTATGATGTGAGTTTATCCTTAAATATCATAGGTGGAAAAAGAGAGAAAATAATTGACGGCACACCACAAGAATTCTTTATCCTATATCAAAGTAAGTAATGATAATATAATTTTATATAATTATTTTCTTTCGTTACTAATTTACTTATATTAGAATGTTGGAAAAATGGACCAAATGAACGTCCAAACATTCAGGAAGTTGTTTCATCTCTTGAAGAAATAATTCCTCTCAAACAAAGTAACACATGTATTGACAAAATTAATGAAAATGAATGTTATAGTAATGAATCTAAATTAAGCAAAGGAACTTCAAATTATGATAATATTAGTAAATTAGATATTAATAATTTCAAAGAAGAAGATTTCCAGTCGGGTGATGGTAATGTAACTGATGTAAAGAGAATTGCTTCAGAAGTAATCAATACTGATGATGATGACGTAGATCTTATTGAACCAAATTTTAATACGAAAGCGTCAATCCGCGGTGGAATAGATGTCACAACAATCATTTCAGTACCATTTGCAAATTTTTTACCACTTATTACAGAAGTAACCAAGACTTTTAATGAAATCGTAGAAATATATCAAACAGCTGAACATAATGAAAAAATATGTGGGATTTTGTTGGATAGAGTCCAAGTTGTTGATACAGCCGTAAGAAATTTAAAAAACCGTAGAGATGAAAATCAATATTTCTTTTCAGCAAGAAATTTTTATAATTTACAGAAGTTAGTTCATGTCATTGATAAAATTCGTAAATTTGTTGAAGAAATTTCTCAGATTAAAGGATTACCAAAGTATATTCGTGCCAAAAGTATTGAAAAACGTGTAAAGGAATTAATGAATGAATTTGATTCTACTATATACCTTCTGCAATTTTCTTGGATGGTTGACTTCAGCTTACGTGCTAACAAAGATGATCAGGACATTAAGTAGATTTATTCCAGGTAACGCATGATATAATTTAATATTTTTAATTCATGTAATCTTATTTATAAATTTCTTACTTATTTATATAGTACCTTAAAGATATCACTGACACGAATCAAAATGTCTCGGAAAAGGTCGTACAAATTAATATGCTGAACACTACAGTGAATCAAATAAGATATCAATCATCAAGAGATCAATCAAATGTATTCCAAAGTGAGTTACTTTAATATAATGATTTTGAAGAAGAAGTTGATTTCATAGAAAATATAAATGTAAGAAAATATAAGAGAAGAAAACATGGATTGAATGATTATGTCGCATTAAATTTGGCGGCTGATAGGGATAGCAATGAAGATGATAAAAATAATATTAGAAATCAAGTCACAATCTTAAAAAAATTGAGAGAATGTCATTTTATTATTCATTTTCATGGTTTAACTTCACATGAAGATAAATTATATTTGGTGACGGAATGGGCTGATTATGGAAATTTACGTGAATATTATCGAGAATATGGTCCACTTGAAGTTAAAATGAAAGTAAGAATTGCTCTTGATATTGCTAGAGGCTTAAATTTTTTGAGCGCCGTTTCGGTAATATATGTATTAATTTATTCATCCCCTAACAAAAGTTCTTATCTAAACTAACCTGTATTTACTTTTGGTGATAAACTTATCTCGATAGGTCGTTCATCGTGATATAAGAGCCGAGAATATTTTAGTTATCAATCTTGAAATTGCCAAAATTGCAAATTTTAAATCAAGTCGAGTAATTACTGATGATACAGCAAATCAAGCTGCTACAATAGAAACTATACGATATTGCGCTCCGGAAAAGTTCGACAAAGGTTCGTCATATAAATATGATATCAAATGTGAAGTTTATAGTTTTGGTATACTTCTTTGGGAAATTGCCGAAGAAAAAATTCCTTATGAGAAATTTGGTGAAGATGTTTGGGAAATACAGGAGAAAGTTTGCATAGGCGAATATCGCGAACCATTTTCTCATGGTTCTCCTATACCAATTGAATACCAGGAACTCGCAATTAAAGGTATTTATTATTTTATAATAAACCTTTTGCTCTTTATATTTAAATTCTAAGGTGTAAATTTACTATAATAGCTGTTCATCACGATCGTAATTTTCGACCTAAATTTTCAAAGATCTTTACCATACTTCAAGAAATTTATAAAAAATGTTGTATACAATCATCATTTCGTATTAATCCTGCGTCAGATGATTCAGTTAATTTTACTTTATCAGAAGATGATGCAGATGAAACTATGATTATACCAAATTTTGCAGATTTTGATTACCTAACAATAGATCAAGCAGCGAAACAACATAAACTTCCTGATGGAAATCGCGAATCAGCATATAAATGTTTTGAAGCATATGCAAAATCAGGTAATGTGAAAGCAAAATATTATAAAGCATACTATATTCAACAAAAATTAGTTTGTCTTGATTTAGACCAATCAGAAAAAGATAAAATAGTAGCAGAATTATATAAAGAAGCAGCAGATGAAGGCGATGAATTTCCCGAAGCTCAATTACGTTATAGCGTTTTTTTATTTAAAGGTATTGGAGTACAAAAGGATATAAAAGAAGCTGCGTTATATTTTACCAAGGCCGCTGAAAATGGCCAAGCTATTGGTATGTTTAATGCCGCTACTTTATATTTCTCCGATATTGATGGTAATAAAGATGAAGCATTGGGTAAAAAATATATGATAGCAGCTGCTTATAAACAGCATAAGCTAGCTATTGAATATTGCAAGAAACATGTTTACCTTTGTAGTACTTAAAGGCATATTACTTAAGTGTATGGAATAATTGTCTAAAAATATTTTCGTAATAAAATACATTTTCCCAACTTTGCTTCTTTCATACATTAAGATAACAATAAGTTCGCTATGAACAGTCAACCCTCTCTAAATTTACTCTCTCTAAATGCACATACTATATATTTTCTCTCTAAATGCATGCTCTCGTTCAGTCCCAAGCATATAGAATTCATATAGAAATTTTCTCTTTAAATGCACACCCTCTTTAAATACACATTTTTTAAAATTTTCACTATGGTCCCAAGGGGGTGCATTTAGAGAGGGTTGACTGTATTCTATTAGCATTAGATAATCTACGAAAATAATAATTATAAGATTAATTTCGAAGTTACATTCAAACATTTTATTCAAAATAAATACTATAATCAAGATTAAGAAAAATAAATTAATATTAACTGGTAAATATAAACGCAAAGCGAATTTTTATTTAAATTAAAACAATTTTCATCAAGACGATCATTTAGAAAATGGAAGTTAACGAGGCATACTGCTATTTCATTGAAAGGTGCGAAACTTTTAATCACACTCGGATTTTGTATTTTACAATCGCTTCTAAAAATTCTTGATATATGTAATAAGAATTAGAGAAAGTTTCCTCTGAGTATATTAATAATCTAAGCTCCTCCAATCATATTTTTTATATAATAATTAGTAAACAGCGACAGCTTGTAAATTTTAAATTTTGATTACCACAATATCAGAAATCCAAGGAATTACTTTTCCACAGTTACCAAAGCTTGATTGATAAGTTGCTTTATAAATTGGTTAAGATCGGGTTACGAACATAATAAATCATCTCTAACGTGATTTTAATAGCAAACCTCCCAATTGTTCAAGCGTTGAATAAATTATCACGAAAACATAATCCCAACGCTCATGTTTTGTCAATTAGAAAATAAGGTATAATGTTATTTCCGTATCTCACGAATTATTTTTTTTTAGTCTGAAAAACACTTGTAAGGAAATAAGATAATAAGAATATTTGGATGTGTTTCAGTTGAAAAAAAGGGACGATATTTGGTATTGTGAGCTCTAAAAAAAATTTTGAAATAAAGAAAGGAAATTGCTACAGTAATTTTTTAGAAATGATTGTTAAATTGAATATAATTACGCCACTCGTGATTTTACCGAGATCTTTCTTCTTTGATTCATACATCTTTACTTGCATTCGTTATTCTAAATTTATTATTTTTTCGTTGTAACTTTGTGCTTCGTTATTTTTCATGTTTTTTATTTATCCGATTATTATTTTTTTTCGTAGTTAATTTCGGAAGTGTAGAACACCGACGTTGAGGTAACACTGATTGATTATTTAATATATAACAACATAATTTAATTAATAAAAACTTTCTGCTTACATTTAAATTTGTTATAAATATAAACGTAAAACTGAAAACTACATGACTTATCCAATATTGTTCGTAACTAGACAAATCAATACAAATAAACTTGATAATCAATCACGCTACCATCTCAAAGCGAAGCTTTTTTATACTTTAATAAAGACTGTATATTATCGAGCATTAAAATGACGTCATCCAAACAA